AAAAATGCCTTATGGTATCGATTAAATGTGGAATCTTAAAAAAAAGGACACAAATGAACTTACCTACAAAACAGAAAAAGACTCACAGGTGTAGAGAACAAACTTATGGTTACCAGGGATTAAAAGCGGTAGGAAAGGATAAATTGGGAATTCGGAAATTGCACCTCTTGGGGAGTGAAGGAAATGTTACCTATCTTGATTGTGATGGTGGTTTCATGGGTGTAGACATCTATCAAAATTCATCAAATTGTACATTTGAAATATGTGTACTTTACTGTACAGGAATCATACCACAATAAAGGTTTTTTTAAAAAAAACAATAACAACTTCAGTGTCCTACTTTTAAGGTTACAAGGAATTTTTAACAGTCTGCACCAACAGCCAAGGCCATGACACATAGCTCAGCACAAAAGAATTGCTTTCAGTGTTTAGGATAAATGCCTACTTATTCAGCAAGTTTAAAGTCTTCAGAAATGTGGTATTAGGCTGTTGAATAAAATTCTGTTTAAAAGAAGATAGTGAGAGGTGGGTGGATCCAGTTATATGGACAGCTAACCAGTTTCTCGGAGGATATGAGAGTATGACCGTAATCCCTCCAGGGGAAGAAGAAATGATGGTGATGGAGACACAGAGAGACACCGGAATAGGAGTGGGGCAAACTAGAGGATGACAGAATTGGCCATTAGGGCTTGTGGAGAAAAGGATGCTCCAGAGAAAAGAGCTTCAGATGGCAGAGGGCACCCTCCATCACGTGTCTCTCTCACACACCCCCCACAGCAGCACAGAGTCATCGAAAGGGCACTGGACTCTCAGTCGGGGTGACGTGGGTTCTAGCCCCAGCCCTGCCATTCCAACTCCATGTGTCACAGGGAGACAGGCTGGGTCCCTGGAAACCTGGCTTCCTGGCTGGTCCTGGAGGAGTCGTGAACTTGTGCAAGGCACTTGGCCGTATAAGCCCGATAAGGAAAATGAGACACCATGACCTCTCTCCTCTAACTCTGATTAGCCTGCGACAGAGAGACTAGGGGCTCTCAGCAGCACCGCTCCTGGGTGTGCCCCCTGTGGGTAACTGCCTGCGTGATGCGCCTGTGCTGACGCCTGCCGCTTTCAACAAACACTCTAGAAAAATGCCTGCCCCCTAACGCTAGCACCTGCCCTCATCTACTCCCTCCTCCCCCGAATTGGCACTCGTTTGCTTTTAAAATTCACTTTATCTTGAATCATGTAATGTATTAATATAAAAATGAATAATAGAATAAATAAGTTTTAATTTAACTTGTGGTGCCTTGCATAACGATCAGAAGGCTTGTGTGTTTGTGTGTTGATGGAGGAAATAAACTATTTTTAACATGTCGATGAGGGATGGAGGAGAGAAGGAAACATCTCAGGGTGGAAATACTTCAGGCCAGGAGATACTCCAATTTGGGCTGGGGGAGGCGGGGCAAGGAAGGGCGGCAGGAAGGATTGCTGTCATCCTCAGTGGCTTCTGTTTTGTCCAGCAGGTCCTGCCCACCCAGCCAGGGCAGAGGGAGTTGGGGCGGGGCAGAGCAGGGTGGAGGCTACGCTGTGGCAAAGAGCCACCAGGACAGGCTGAACCTGAGGGCTCTGACGGAGGGAACTCTTGTGACACCACCGTTTTCCCCGCATCAGCTTGAGTCTGGGAAAGGGAAGTCAGGCATCATCACGTCAGTTCCTCATCACAACCTTTTCTACCTTCCCGCTCCTGCCATCATCTCCCGCTCTGTCTCAAAATTCAGTTGGCTCCTCAGGACAGGGAGATTATATTAAGTATATAATATCAATAAATATAATTATATCTATATCAGTTATTTCATATACAATTACATCAATACATATAATTATAATTGAGTAAGACAAGGCAGCAGGGGAAAGGCCCCAAAGAGGACGAGGAAAGGTAAATTCTGGATTCCAGGTCAGATGCTGGAATCAGGAAAAGAACCAGGCGTTTGGAAGCCAGGGTGCCACTCGGGCATCCCCCAATTTCTCCTTTGGTAAAAGCTAGAGGATTCCTGACGCTGCTCTGTGATGATGCCAGAATGAGCTTTGAGTTTCCTGGAGGAGCCGGCCTGAGTCTCCCCTCCTCCACCACTACCGGGCAGTGGAGGACATTCCGCTGCAGCTGGGTGGTGGGTGGTACTCGGCAAACAGAGAGAAGGGTCACAGATGGTGGTGAGAGAAGAGCTGGGAAGGAAAGGTGGCTCAGGCAGTGGACGGGGGCACAGCAGGTCTCCTGAGTGGAGGGCACCATGTCTTCATTTGCCCGCTGGACATGGTGCTGGGCCCTTAGTGCATGCTCAGCAACACCGACTGTCCCCTCCCCCACCCAGGATCTCCCAGGCACTTGGGCCATGACCCAGGACTTGCATCCATTCACTGCCCCCTGTATGGTACCCCCATCCAGCTCTCCAGACATTCTTTTTTTTTTTAGTATTTTTAAAATAATTTATTTATTGTTGTATTTATTTTATTTTGGTAGCAGGGAAGGTAATTAGGTTTATTTTTAGAGGAGGTACTGGGAACTGACCCCAGGACCTCGTGCATGCTAAGCACGCACTCTACCACTTGAGCTATACCCTCCCCTCAGACATTCTTTATGCAACAGCATTTATTAAGTACCTGCCTACTTGCTCTAAATGGAACACTGGACTAGGCCCTGAGGATACACAGATGACCAAAGGTCCATTTCTGACCACAACAAGCTCACAGTCTAGCTGAGGAGGAAGACATAAAGGAACAAGAAAGTAAAACGTGACATCAGCATTTCCAAAGATGTTATGGTGTGCCACGGGAGTCCAGGGGAGAGGGGGGTGATCAATCCTGGGGAAGACAAGATGGGGCAGAAGCCTTGACAGAAGTCTTGATGTCTGAG